GAGGTCGACCTTCACCGATCTAATAACTTTATGAGACATATTTCATATCATATATACTTAATATATAAACAAATATGCCTATCGAAAAGTGTTCATAGCTATTTTTAATTTAATTATTTTTTATCAATTCTTTTCATTACCTTCACTCTTTTGATAACCGAATGAGTTGTATCTCAACTGATAGTTTTTAACACACAGAATATGCCAAGGAAGGCATGCCTACTTATTTCTGTGCATGGCTAGGCTACCTGGCAAGCCGATGTGAATAGGTAAGTCAATATAGGTAACTACACCGATCTGTTAACAAATCAAAATTTATATCAAAGGTAAGATATTTTAATTTCAAAACCAATCATATAGGCTTGCCTGAAAAAAATCAGGCACAAATTGCCAAGCTATAAAGTTTTAGAATTTTAGTTATTCTGATAGGAGCGTGAGAACTCTAATCCACACTATATTATATATATTATATATTATATTAATATTATAAATGCGAAAGTAACTCTGTCTGTCTGTCTGTTACTCTTTCACGCCAAAACTACTGAACGGATTTGAATGAAATTTGGTATACAGATGGTCTAGATCCTGAGAAAGGACATAGGCTACTTTTTATTGCGAAAAGGGGGTTGTAAGGGGTTAAAAGGGGGTGGGGGGTGAAAAGTTGTATGGGATTGGGAACTACGAAGCTAAACTTTTTGTATACAAAATCTTAACCACTGAACCTAGGAACATGATATTTAGAAGTTTTGGGTGTATCAAGTTAATAAAAAATTGGCTTTTGAAGTTAAAGTTCCTTTTAACGAATACTCTGCATCGCATAAAAAAGCGATCGAGCGCTCAATCGGACTCTGAAAGATATTAGAAGCAACCAGAGTTTAATGGGTGAGATGGTAGTGCTGCTTGCTGGTGATTTTCGACAGACCATTACCAGAGGCACTCCAGCAGATGAGATAAATGCATGTTTGAAGGCGTCTACATTATGGGTGCATGTAAAAAAAATGTCTCACTAAAAACATGCGAGTACAACTACATAATGATACGCAATCGAGGCAATATGCAGCTGCTGAAATCGTGGGATAGATCAAGGAACAAATGATGTCACATGTGCAAGGCGATGTTGTCGAATATTTGTCAGTAGATATTGTCATGGACAGTGAACAGGTGACATCTTATCCTACAGAGTTTCTAAACTCTTTAGAGCTGTCAGGAGTGCCGTCACATAAGCTGAGACTGAAAATTGGGGTTCCAGTTTTGTTAATGAGAAATCTCGAAACGCCGAGACTATGCAACGGGACTCGATTGCAAATTACGCAGCTAGGACGCAATATTATTAGAGCAATTATAATGACTGGTATAGCTAAAGATGAAGAAGTTTTGATTCCCCGCATACCCATGATCCCTACAGATTAACCTTTTCAGTTTAAAAGAATCCAGTTTCCCCTCAAACCAGCCTTCGCAATGACCATTAACAAAGCGCAAGGGCAAACACTTAAAGTAGCAGGTGTAAAATTTAGAGAAAAAATGTTTTTCGCATGGCCAACTGTACGTGGCCTGCTCGCGAGTGTCGAGTCCAAACAATCTCCACATTTTAACAAATAATAACAAAACAGCAAACGTTGTGTACAAAAATGTTATAAAATAGGTCATTTTAAAATATTTTTGTACATAACGTGACGCTGGCCCCTGTAAGTGTCTCTTGAACATAATATTTTTTATTTTTTTAAATACACCTACTATATCTACTAATGATTCTTATTAAATAATAAAAATGCTACCCAAATATACTATCCCACGCGGACGAAGTCGCGGGTAACAGCTAGTTTATTATAACTCTGATTTCGATCACAATGTTTGTAGTATTTCACACCATATATACTTAATAAATAAAAAATCAACAAATAAATTTTTATTCTAAATCTAAATTATAAAATTAAAATAAAATCTAAATTCTTTATTTAAAATTAATTACAAAGCATATAAAATAAATAAGAAAATTTAATTATATTTTTTATTCATCAATGGACATTGCTCGTTCCCCATACATTGAATGCCCTAGAACGCCCAGCAATGAGAAAATGCTAGTTGTGTTCGGAATCATTCATAAACTCTAAATAAGCATTTGTTGAGATACGGACAACTTGAGGAACCGTGGCCTACTACAGAATGTATTAGATTTTGAGGTTATAATTATTATACTTAATCATAAAAGATGTACACTTTATATATTCTGAATAGATTTAGTGTTTACCTCTATGTAAGCACTTAAATAATATGCATTAAATGAACATAAAATGCAATTTATAATAAAAATAATAAATGCTTATATTCTTATTGATTTTACCTGTAGTAAGTAATGATAGATTTCTTTTCAAATGAAATGTTCAGTCTTTCCATTTACCTGTTTCTATATTTTACTAACGGTAATTAGGTATGTACCTGGTTACCATTACGATTTTCATAAAAATAAACAGATATTACATGGGATGGGAGTATAAACTATCTTTAGATAATTTCAGAAATAATCTTTTTATAAATATAATATAAATACTAGTAATAAGTATTATTAACTAAGGTACCTAGTTCTATTTTTATGTTGATAAATACCTATGGTCGCCTATATTGCATAACTAAGGTAAACAATCTTGGCACAACTTTTTAACAGAATCACCCATTTAATAATAAAATATTAACGAAGAAAATAAACTATTAAAATAAATCGTTATTATAGACTGAAACCTATTGAATCCAGTTATCAGTTGATTTTTAATGCTGTATTTTCAATAAAAAGGAGTGCCAAGTTGGATGAACAGACTGTAGTATCTAGTAAGAGAACTTTTATTTTTTAAACAGATTGTCCGTATACTATGATTAATTGCTAATAAGTTAAAAAAATTGAATTTTTATCACATAAAAATGGTTGCCTGTAAAGTCGGTTTTACGGGCGAAGATTTTACGTGACAACGTCTTTTTCTCGGTAGAATATTTATTGATATGAATATAATTAAATTGCACAATAGGAACAAGGAATTGAATGAAAATAAGAATTGCACAAATTTTAACTATAGAAATATATTTTGTTTACTAAAACATTGTACATGTAAACTTAAACTTAACACGAGAGACTCATCGTAACGTTACCGAGCGTTACACTTTTTCATAAGTGACTCCCAGCCGCAACCTAATTTAAGACGTTGTCACGTCAAAAATAATAGAAAAATAATAGTGAAGGACATTCTTTTGGGCATGCTAGGGCCGAATTCGTCGATGTCCTTTAAAGGGTGTTTGGTCCCCAGTAAATCCAATTGGTTTTAAATGATCATCGTCTAAGAGCTAACCACCCCAGCCAACACATAAGCCAGATAGCAGCGAAAATATACCACGATAAGCAGTGTCAAGCTTTATAACTTTTGTATTACTATAAAACCATTAAAACCGTCTATTATGCGTTGTGCCACTCTCTATTGGAATACTGCATCACCTCTTGGGGTGGGGCCGCGAAAACACACTTACTAACGGTGGAGAGATCTCAGCGCATATTGCTTAAAGTGGCTGCAGGAGTCCCATATCGCTATCCTACTGTAGAGTTATACAAAGTCTGGAGCATTCTCTCTGTACGACAGATATTCGTTCTGAAAACCGTACTTCAAAAACATAACCAGTTAACTTATGACCCCAAATTTGAACAAAGGAGACGCAAAACTCAAGTCTGCCCTTTGCCTACTCAGAAAACCTCCTTTGCACAAAACTTCTTCCAGTTTCTAGGCCCATTCCTCTACAACCGCATAAATCATATCCTCCATATTTATTCTCGTCATAAAACCCACTGTAAAACTATCGTCCGCGATTATCTATTGACACTTGACTATGATTCTACTGAAAACCTATTATGCCCTCTAAGGTAAACCTGATAATGATGATATTCGTAGTTTTCACAAGAGATTTTAATTTCGCCTCTGCTACTGTTGAAACTAATCATTTACACACGACTGCACATACACAAACATACACACACATACACTACACTGCATACATATTACATACACAAAAAGAACGAAATCACACAAACACTTACTATCACACACATACACGCCGTTTTTGGTTATTATTTTTATTTTTTAATTTGGAAACTGGATAATTTTCTAGCTTCCTATTAGATAGAATAGCTTTCTTTGATTTTTGTTATTATTTATTTGTTTTCTTTTATTCAATGCTGTTGAAACAACAATGTATATACACATTTCAACTGTCCAAGATTGTACCATCCGTGGAAGTCTTGCTATCTGTGATTGGGCCTGGTGACCTGTAGCACAGGTTTCTATTGCTGAAACCTATTTCAGGCACCAGTTCATCACAAATAGAGGAGCCACAATACTGTAATAGCTATACAAGACTTACTATGAATCTCTGTTGTGATGGAAAATAAATATATTTTTGATTTGATTTGATTTGATTTGATTACAGCTGACGTTATGGCTTTATTTTGAATAAGAGAGTTTTTAAATTAAAATAATGTTGTAAGCTTACTAAATTCTGTATTAAGTTCGCGGTGTTTTTTCAAGCTGAATAGTAATCAACAGTAGAATCTGCTAAACAAGCGATATTCAAATAAAAGTAATTGAAACAGCTATTATCTGCACAGTAGCTGAAGTTTTTGCATTGTCTTGTATAACATATTTATGCAAAGCAGTTAAACAGCAAAACGCTGAATATTAGACGAAATATTTTCTTTAAGCTGCATAGTGTACGAAATGGTACTAATTTATTCAGATGCTGAATATTTTAGATTTTTTCTTCTTTACACAGCTTACTTCTGCATAATTGAAAATAAACTCCTTATTTTTCCTAACTTAAAGCGCTATAAGCGTACAATTGTCTTTATGCTCAGCTTAAAACAATATTAGTTACAAATGTGGGTATCTTAAGTAGCAAATAATTGATTAGTTGAAGATATCGTATGTTTGTATCCAGATATTTCACCATTTTTATGCATCGTCAACAATATGCCTCCTCAGAAAAATAATAACAAAAGCGTAAATGATTCATGGAAAAAAAGAAAGAGAACGAGAGGAATAATAAAGATAAAAAATAGTATCTGTGCAGTAATAGAAAAGGGTTTGACAACTGATACAATTAGGCCCGGGTCAAGTGCGACCAATACAGTTGAAGAGGGTTTTGTACACGATAATTATGCATCACCATCAGGTTTAGTGATTCAAACAAATAGACCGGGTCCAACTTTAGGTGCACATAACGAGACTTATATGTGTGACAACTTTGCATCTCAATCACTGACTGTACAATTTGATAGTGATTCAAGTTCTACTGATTTGGAAGAAAACTCGGAATTTAATAAAAATTCTGATTTTCGCAATAACCTCAGAGAATGGGCAGTGAGTAAAAATATTTCTCAAGAGGCTGTAAAAGACCTACTAAACGTCATTAATCAACGATTTCCTGGAACTGTACCAGTTGATCCTAGAACTTTATTGCAAACTCCTAGAAATATTGTAATTAAAGAAATTGAAGGCGGAGAATACTGGTATAACGGCCTCACGAAACCACTCACCAATATTTTAAATGTTTGGCTGGACTTGCCAGATATGATAAACCTTAATTTCAATTTTGAAGGGTTGCCAATTTTTAAAAGTTCCAAAAAACAATTTTGGCCTATTCTTTGTAATATACATAAAAGAACTGATATACGACCACTCATTGTTGGAATTAACTATGGTTCTGGCAAACCAAAAAATCTGAATCAGTATTTAGAAGATTTTGTCTCAGAGATGAAAACGCTACTTGAAAATGGCATCCACATGGTTAAAGAAGGTGAAGAAAAGATAGTTACTGTAAAAATAAGATGCTTCATATGTGATTCGCCAGCGAGAGCTTTCATAAAAGGTAATTTTTATAAGTCTGAAATATAGATCGTGTAAACCTTACTACTAGACCATTTATACAAATGCACTCTTGAACACACACACGCACTACATACTTATTAGTTCCACAAAGATGATGATTCGTTTTTTAACTAAAGGCCAATTTGTGTCACGTTTTTTTAATACGTCAGTTGATAAAATTATTCGAGCATGTGTAACGTGAGCATTTATTTTCAGGTGTATGCAATTTCAACGGGAAGCATGGTTGTTTAAAATGTGTAACTGTAGGCGACTACTCCCACCAGTCTCATACAGTGATATTTCCAGACTCAAGATGTCCCAAGAGAACGGATAATGAATTTAGACAAAGAAACTATGGACAACATCACAAAACAGACACACCCCTTCTAGGATTACCTATCGATATGATTGAAGATTTCCCAATTTCTGATTCACTGCATCTTATTGATCTGGGAGTTATGAAACGTTTACTAGTGGGATGGCGCGATGGTAATTTTGAAAAGCTTTTGACCAAATGGGTGGCTTCAGATACGCAAAAAGTCACAGATTTTTTACGGGCTTGTAAACTTCCTTCTGAAATCCATAGATCCGCACGAGGGTTAGATGAGCTGCTTCATTGGAAAGCAGTGGAATTCTGATCTTTTTTTTATTACACTTAGGTAATAAAAAAAAGATCATAATTCTACCTGAAGTGATGTCAAAAGAACCCTATGAACATTTTTTATTACTTTTTTGTGCAATTACTATTTGCTCATCTCAAAATTACAGCTCACTACTAGATCTTTCTGAGCAACTATTATTACACTTTGTAGAAAACTTCAAAACATTTTACGGTAACTACGTACTACAAGTAATATTCATAATTTAGTACATGTTACTGATGAAGTCTGTAAATTTGACCCTCTTAACACATTTAATTCGTATCCGTTTGATATAAAAAAAATGTTAAGGAAAGGGAATAAACCACTAATTCAAGTTGCAAATAGGCTGGCAGAAAGTAATAAAAATAATTGTTCAAAGAATATCGTGGTAAAAAAAACTAAAACTAATTATCCGATAATAACAAAAAGTAGACATCACAGTATTGTAAACTTCGATACATTCAAAATTTCACATAAAACTCAAGATAAATATTTTATGAGCACAGAAAGAGATATTATTGAAGTCATAGAAATAAAAGAAAAAACTATAAAAAGTTACAAAATTAAATATTTGTCTGATGTTTTCCAAACTCCTATAAAATCATCTTATCTTAATATATTTAAAGCCAGTTTACCCGACTGTCACCGTACAGTTGTAAATATACATTATGAAAAAATTTGTTGGAAATTAGTGGTTAATTCATATAAAGACTATTTTTATTTTATTATTTACTTTTTGGTCGACCATATTGTAGGTAGTTAAGTTACTTTATAAGGTTAATTGTATAAATAAAACTCCAGTTATATATGAGTTTGTTTTATTAAAATATATGAATTACATTCAACACTTGCATTCAACATGATCCAATCTAAGAAAAAATATTTTTATCTCTCATTTATTTGTACTTAGTCAAATAAACATTAAAACGACTTAAAACTATTAGTCAAATCAATACCTAATAATTTAGTCACATCTTTAAGTAGCGTGTGGATTATTGAAGTTATACTTCTTTAGCCGCGTTATAAAAAAATTATGAGAGTGAAATTTTCATCACTGTAACACAAAATTTTAACATAATGAAGTTAGCCGCGGGCGCGTTATTTGTAATATTTTATTTTCCAAGTGACCGTGGCGTGGGGCAGATTTGAACAAAGCAAACAGGGCAGATTTGAACGGGACATTGAAATGAAATGAAATGAAATGAAATGAAATGAAATGAAATGAAATGAAATGAAATGAAATGAAATGAAATGAAATGAAATGAAATGAAATGAAATGAAATGAAATGAAATGAAATGAAATGAAATGAAATGAAATGAAATGAAATGAAATGAAATGAAATGAAATGAAATGAAATGAAATGAAATGAAATGAAATGAAATGAAATGAAATGAAATGAAATGAAATGAAATGAAATGAAATGAAATGAAATGAAATGAAATGAAATGAAATGAAATGAAATGAAATGAAATGAAATGAAATGAAATGAAATGAAATGAAATGAAATGAAATGAAATGAAATGAAATGAAATGAAATGAAATGAAATGAAATGAAATGAAATGAAATGAAATGAAATGAAATGAAATGAAATGAAATGAAATGAAATGAAATGAAATGAAATGAAATGAAATGAAATGAAATGAAATGAAATGAAATGAAATGAAATGAAATGAAATGAAATGAAATGAAATGAAATGAAATGAAATGAAATGAAATGAAATGAAATGAAATGAAATGAAATGAAATGAAATGAAATGAAATGAAATGAAATGAAATGAAATGAAATGAAATGAAATGAAATGAAATGAAATGAAATGAAATGAAATGAAATGAAATGAAATGAAATGAAATGAAATGAAATGAAATGAAATGAAATGAAATGAAATGAAATGAAATGAAATGAAATGAAATGAAATGAAATGAAATGAAATGAAATGAAATGAAATGAAATGAAATGAAATGAAATGAAATGAAATGAAATGAAATGAAATGAAATGAAATGAAATGAAATGAAATGAAATGAAATGAAATGAAATGAAATGAAATGAAATGAAATGAAATGAAATGAAATGAAATGAAATGAAATGAAATGAAATGAAATGAAATGAAATGAAATGAAATGAAATGAAATGAAATGAAATGAAATGAAATGAAATGAAATGAAATGAAATGAAATGAAATGAAATGAAATGAAATGAAATGAAATGAAATGAAATGAAATGAAATGAAATGAAATGAAATGAAATGAAATGAAATGAAATGAAATGAAATGAAATGAAATGAAATGAAATGAAATGAAATGAAATGAAATGAAATGAAATGAAATGAAATGAAATGAAATGAAATGAAATGAAATGAAATGAAATGAAATGAAATGAAATGAAATGAAATGAAATGAAATGAAATGAAATGAAATGAAATGAAATGAAATGAAATGAAATGAAATGAAATGAAATGAAATGAAATGAAATGAAATGAAATGAAATGAAATGAAATGAAATGAAATGAAATGAAATGAAATGAAATGAAATGAAATGAAATGAAATGAAATGAAATGAAATGAAATGAAATGAAATGAAATGAAATGAAATGAAATGAAATGAAATGAAATGAAATGAAATGAAATGAAATGAAATGAAATGAAATGAAATGAAATGAAATGAAATGAAATGAAATGAAATGAAATGAAATGAAATGAAATGAAATGAAATGAAATGAATGAAATGAAATGAAATGAAATGAAATGAAATGAAATGAAATGAAATGAAATGAAATGAAATGAAATGAAATGAAATGAAATGAAATGAAATGAAATGAAATGAAATGAAATGAAATGAAATGAAATGAAATGAAATGAAATGAAATGAAATGAAATGAAATGAAATGAAATGAAATGAAATGAAATGAAATGAAATGAAATGAAATGAAATGAAATGAAATGAAATGAAATGAAATGAAATGAAATGAAATGAAATGAAATGAAATGAAATGAAATGAAATGAAATGAAATGAAATGAAATGAAATGAAATGAAATGAAATGAAATGAAATGAAATGAAATGAAATGAAATGAAATGAAATGAAATGAAATGAAATGAAATGAAATGAAATGAAATGAAATGAAATGAAATGAAATGAAATGAAATGAAATGAAATGAAATGAAATGAAATGAAATGAAATGAAATGAAATGAAATGAAATGAAATGAAATGAAATGAAATGAAATGAAATGAAATGAAATGAAATGAAATGAAATGAAATGAAATGAAATGAAATGAAATGAAATGAAATGAAATGAAATGAAATGAAATGAAATGAAATGAAATGAAATGAAATGAAATGAAATGAAATGAAATGAAATGAAATGAAATGAAATGAAATGAAATGAAATGAAATGAAATGAAATGAAATGAAATGAAATGAAATGAAATGAAATGAAATGAAATGAAATGAAATGAAATGAAATGAAATGAAATGAAATGAAATGAAATGAAATGAAATGAAATGAAATGAAATGAAATGAAATGAAATGAAATGAAATGAAATGAAATGAAATGAAATGAAAAGAAATGAAATGAAATGAAATGAAATGAAATGAAATGAAATGAAATGAAATTTATTATTAATTTATTGTAATTAATTATTTGCATGCAATTAACAACTAATTTTAAACGATGCCAAAGAAGGATAACTTTTCACGCGCCTACATAAGTACACGCACCCATTTTTTTATTTAAAAACTATCAGTCAGATCAATATATTAATTATTATAATCCAGTCACATATAGAAGTTAGTAGCTTTGACATTAGTTTTTGATCATAATATTGAATATCCCAAAGACTCTTCAACTTATCTAACTTATTCTATAATGATATCTTATACCTTATTCCGTTAACTGAACCACTTTTACCAAGGAACATGGGTGTTCATTTGGAAAGCCGTTTCACTGACCGAGTATACTATTTTAGTTTACGGTAATCTATAATTTTCATCCTGTATAAAAGTAGCTTTTTAATAGTTATTTTTGGGCTTTCCAACCTAACTTCGGCTCATCCACTCGATCAACTTTCCTAAAAAAACTTAAGACAAGTCATAAATGTTGGTAAAGATGTAAAACTTAAATCTCCAAAATTTCATCTATGGTTTAAGTTCTAACAGTTTAGGACACAAATCATAGATAAAATTTAGGAGATAGTGGTCCAAAAGTAATCTTCTATTCAATATTAATCAAAACATCAATAAAAAAAATGCACAAGTGAAACAAACGGTCCTTAATTTTGTATCTCTCCTCCACGCCTAATAATTAACAAAAAAAAATATAGGTATCTAAAATCTTATAAAATATTGTGCATAACTGAATACAAAAACCTAGTCTAACAAAGTGATTCTTCGTCCTACTCATTCTCAACATTATTCGGGTGATCCCCACAATTGTCGTGTTGAGTATTTGTTTTCAATTCGCCTACCTTTACATTGCTTGGGTTGGCGTTATTGTTATTTTGTATCTCGTTTTCGTCGGCTTCGTTATTATTACTTTTTGGCTCGACTTCCTTGATTTCGTTATCATTTTGTATCTCGTCTTCGTAAGCTTTGTTATTACTTTGTGTCTCAGTTTTGTCGGTTTCAAGATTGACATTCTTTGCTTTTATAGTCTTCTTGCTTTTCTTGCTTGATTTTCTAATGTTATTTGTTCCTTTTCATTTTAACGCGTTTCTCAATACTGACTTCAGAAAATCTTCATTATTTTCAACTGTGTAATTAGGATGCCATGAATTAACCATCTCAAAAAAAATGATAACATTTTTATAGGCCTTGAATCCAATTTTAACATCAGATCCACGACTTCCTCCTGTCCATGAGCACTTACATAAAAAATCTTTTGAAAATAAAGCATCTAATAATATGTATGCACAATTAAAACCACTCCCTTTAGAAGCAGAGCACAAAATAGAATATTTTTGTTATAAGCTTTCAAACGTGTCAAAGTTTGATAGT